CAACAACATCAACAAAAATCTCAACAACAACAACAACAACATCAACAAAAACCTCAACAACAAACAATTCAACAGCAACAACCACAACTACAACCATTATCACCGCCAAAGCAACAACGACCACTGCAGCCGCAACAAACGCCACTAAAACAACCACAACAACCACGACAACGGCTATCACCACCACAAAAACAACAAACTGCCCATCCTCCTAAAAACATTAAAACAACATCGCCAAAAATTAATAACAAAATTGACAACAACAACAACAACAAAATTAACATCAACAACAACAACGATAACAACAACAACAACAGAATTAACAACATCAGCAACAACAAAAATAATGATAATAGCAGCAACAACAACAAAAATGACATCAAAAAGACACATGGCTCATTAGATAACTTAACTGATCCGCACAAACACAGCAACATTCCTGAACAAGCTTCGCAACTAACTCAACAATCTCAACAACAACAACAACAAATTAACAACATGAACAACAACATGAACAACAACATGAACTACAACAAGAACAACAAAAACACTGAAAACATTAAAACTACAACTACCAAAAATAACAAAACTTCCCGCCAAAACTCATCCTCATCATCTTGGAGTTCAGAAACATTGGAGCAAGTCTCACTGTCTGACCAATCATATTGCACCGATTTCACACCATTTGAATTCGGACCGACCAATCAGAGACCTCCCATTTATTACCCTAATAACGACGCCAACCAATCAAAATCGTGGTACAGAAAAGAAGATTTGGATGATTTCTTCAAAGATTGTACGAACGCTGTGGCTCTTAAATATCCGACCAACTACAACTTCAACAAATACGTCATCAGCGGCAACAAAGATGACGTCAACAACAGCAACAATCAGCGTAGTAACAAAAGCGCTGTTGGTTCTTTGGACAACAAAGATCAAAATTTAGTTGAAAATAATATCAACAACAGCGCCAACAATAGCAATGAAATCAACGACAATAAAAACAGCACTGACAACAAAACCATAGACGAAAACATCAACGACAACATCATCAACAACAACAACATCAACAACAACAACATCAACAACAACATCATCAACAACAACAACATCATCAACAACATCATCAACAACAACAACAACAACAACATCATCAACAACAGCAGCAACGTCTCTAGCAAAAGTCAAGCAAGCAGCAGAAATAGCAACAACGACTCGCGACAGACGCTGTTAGACGACAACAACTTCAACATCGGCAGCCACTTCGACTACAACTACCGCAACAGTTTTCATGTGTTTCAGCAACACAACGTCAACAACAAAATCAACACTGAATTTGACAGAAACATCAACAAAACTGTCAACAACATCAACAACAACAACAACAACATGAATTTGTTTAAACCTGCTCACAAATATGTCACAACCATATATTTGGCATCAAACGATGATTTGAGCAACATTTCAACAACAACAACAACAACAACAGCATCAACAACAGCAACAACCCCAACAACAACATCAAAGACTTCAGCATCTAACTTACATCAGTTTCCAATGCCATCTTTCCATCCTAAACAACAAGCACCATCGAATCTTTTCAAACCGGCCAACAACGCCAAGCTACATTCTGATTGGTTTAATAAACAAACGAGGTCACCAATCGTCAACCAATCAGGTGTGGTGATGAGAAATCGGTCGGGTCGCTCAGCCTATCAGGATAGAGTTTCTATGGTGTCAACCGGAAATAAATGCACGTCGGTTATCACGATTGGAGGTGACGAAGTTATTGATAATGACGTCATTACTGAAAATAATGGAAAAAGATGTAAAGAAGAAGATGATGGTGGTGGTGAAAAAGGTGATGGCAAGGATAAAAATGAAATTAAGGAAGAAATTCGGAGTGAACAAAATAGAAGTGTCACTGGCGGAGTGAAAAAAACTGACGATGGAAAGGATGATGACTCAAAATTGAAAGGAGAAAAAAACGTTGCCAACATCAACAACTACAGCAACGACAACAACTACAGCAACAACAACAGCAACAACAACTACTACAACCACAACCACAACA